AACGCAATCGGAAAAGTGGACGACTATTAAATGATTTACATAAGCAGCAATGTTGTATCGGGATAAAATGTACTGGAGTTCTAGAGTAAATATTCAGATTTATGTTGCAAGTTATAAAACCTTTTTGGGGAAACAAAATGTGGACAGTGGAAAGTACAGTGGGGTAAGTTAAGTAGTGTATCACACCCCACACCGTATCCAAAAAGGCCGTAACCTAAACAGCCCTGCACACGTTGCACCACATTGCACCGCGATGATGACAAAATAGTCACCATGGGGTACGGGTGGGAGCGTCATTGCAGTTGTGATTTTATGGTGGCTTCGATTGTGATTTTATGATGGCTTCGATGACGAAAAAGCTTCTTCAAATGGAACCTGTCGCATATATACACCTAAGTGCGGATCCCTCTAATGCGTTGTTTAGCTTCCTTAGCTCAGATGCTACCCTTCGAAGAGACTTCCCCACTGATACTGATCGAACTCATCTCCTAATCTGCGAAATCGTTAGTTGTGTGAGAGAGAGCTCTCCACATTTGTGATATATCCTGAATGCAGTGCCAGAAATCGTTTGGGGCTGACATGCATTCAAAAACGTGCACTAGCCGACTTAGGCAGCGTTCAGACTTCGCGACGGCAGCGCTTTTGTCGCGCGCTTCGGCGCAATCGATACCCATGCTTTCGACCATCGATCGCGCCGAACGCGCGCTTGAGGCGCTGCCATCGCGAAGTCAGAACACTGCCCTAGTTAGTGCCCTAGCCATTCTGCAAGAACAGCGAACTTTTTCTCGGAAAACGCGAAGACCATCTTATGCTGGAACAGTAGGGCAACGCGTATCCTGAGACGATCCGGGGATTCGGTCATGATCGGCGTGCAACGTGGCGCAACGTGTGCAGGGGTGTTTATGTTACGGCCCTTTTTTGGTACGGTGTTGGTTTGATACCTTACTGAGGTTAGTTACTGTATGAAAAGTATGGATAAAGCGCAACTGTACGATAAAACCGATCATACCAGCAAAGCTAAGTAAACAGTATCCGCTTCAATTGGTTTTTAACAAAATGAATAAATAGCTGCTTATGTAGTTCTTTAAAGCACCGTTTATCACTCTGCGGGACAAAACAGGATGCAGAAAGAGAAGGCTGGATGGAGATAAAAATCACGGCGATTCTTCCTCATATATGAGACGGGGCACCAACAGAGCTCTCAATGGGGAAAAAAGACGCGGCTTACTTCTCCAGTGATGATAGCCTCTCCTATGCCTGAATTGAAACTGTAGCCGAATGAAAAGTAGTACTATGAAAAAAAGTTATGCATCCAAACCAAAATCGGCGCCAACGTAGGGGGAGAGTGTGGGGGAGGGGGGAGGTATCTCTGTGTCCATTTCCGAGGAGGCTTAGGCTCAGAGCGTAGATGACCAGAGTCGCTGAGTGATTGTCCCACAAAGAAGATACAGTCGTCGCTAAGCCCGAATCTTAGTCAGGAGTAGCGGAGACGCTGGCGAGTGGCCCTAGCGAGGCAGAGCTCACGAACCACCCACGTTCCTAGCTATTCAAGGGCTAGTAGTGCTCGACATTTCAATTGCGCAATGATGAAAGAGATTAGAGATCAATATGCAAATTAAGAGCAGAATTAGCTCAATAATTACCCGGTAGGAGATGAAGGAGGAGGCGGCGGAATCCACTCGGTGTCGCTGGACGTCTTTCGCTCGTCACGAATTCCCAGTTGCATTTTCTGGAACTATATCAGAGCTCATGAGAACAACAAAACTCTGCAAGCAGAGGGGATATTTTCATACTTTTCTCAGCCAGTAACTTTAGCCCAAAAATCAAAGCAGACGCCGTTACCTTCAGTAATTCCACCTAGTCTTCAAGAGCGCGTTCATACTTCGCGACTAGGTCGCGTTGATCGCGCGAACGAATCGATCGATATGATCACACTTGCGGTGTCAGAGGCACTGTGTGATCCCTTCCTCCAGCCGACCCTCTCACAATCTCCCTAGCAATTACAGAGTTCTCCCAACTGGCGGCTAAATGTAACCTCCGCATCTGGCCGTGAATTGGAGGACTTCGGTAAGGTGGTAGGCCGATCATGAGAGAGGATCCTTCCAAACCACGTATGAGATATGAGACTTCCTGATTATAATCTACTCAGGAAAAGAGTAGATTATAATCAGGAAGTCTCATATCTCATACGAAACGCATATGACCAGAAACAACAGCTTTCGAGAAACTAAAAAAGTCCCCCAGCGACCATCAGCCTTTTGAGAAACTAGAAAGGTCCCCCACCGAACACCAGCCTTTCGAGAAACTAGAAAAGGATGGATATCGATCTAGCATCTACCAGCGACCATCAGCGTCTCGAGGAATCAGGAAAGTATGTATATCGATCTAGCATCTACCAGCGATGAGGAGTAAAGTGCATGTGGAAGGAGGAAATAGAAGACAGCTGGATTGGGCGTTGTGAAATTGTAGCGCGTGCGACCGCACCGTACTCTGCACAATACTACTGGACGCTTTCGTTCGCCAGATCATCCATTTCCTGGTCAGTGACGCTGACGGACGCTCGAAATGCTGGTGGTCGCCGGAGGAGACTGCCATAAAGTATAAACGCAGCCTAAACAGCGCTCCTCCTCAGGAAGGAATCCATCTGTATATTCATTCCTCTATCGTTACCTCTGCCAACGCCTCTCGTCTCTCTGGCTCTCGCCGCTCTGTATCCCTGCTCTTCCGATGCACCGTGGTGTCTAATCGATAACCGCGTGGCACCTGCTCCACTCTCCAGGGCCGTATGCTATACTTCCCCTCAAAGGGAAGATATCCCTCCAGTGTACCTCCACTGTCTGCCGTTATCTTTATCGATGTCCATCGCCTCTCAGCATCTCTGTTCCCCTGTCACCCGAAATCTCCCGGGAAGAGATCAATTATTCCCTGCGCTGTACTATATTCGCTCAGAGCGTGCGCCAGAAGGTTATGGATGCAGAGCGGCGAGAGCCAGAGGACGAGAGGCATCAACAGAGATAAGGGCTGGGAGCGGAGGATCGGATATCTCCTCTTGAGGGAAAGTATAGCATTCGGCACCAGCACACGTCGCTGGGAGAGCGGGGGAGCAGGGATGCAGAGGTTAGAAGCAGAGAGGTGAGGGGATGCTCAAGGGGGTTAGGCTAAAGTAGCTGAGGGGCCACTCGGGCCCGCCTCTATGTCCCTTCCCCAAGAAGGCTTCGGCTTAGAGCGCAGACAAGTCGACACGATAGTACGCAGAGAAGACACAGTCTTCATTAAGCCTAACCTATATTGGGGAAAAGGATACGGAGGCGCTGGCGAGTGCCCCCTCCCACCACCAGCTCCGTTGGGCAGAGGGACATTTTGGACATCCTTCCGAGTACCTTGGCGTCATAGGCTGCACAGTGGTACATGGTGGGGTACCATGCGTTCCTTCATTCCCCGCCTCATTTTTGAAGCGCGCAGATGACTACAGTCCATGCGATGGTCGTCTTGGGACCGAAAGAGCGGACGACATGGTGTCGCGTCGTGCTCTCTTCCCCCCCCCCCCTCAGCTACAGCAGTACCGCGGAACATCTGACATCTACAACAATCTACTTGATCTGGCGCTAATGTAGGTAGGGCGGACCACTCGACCAACACCACCGTATCCCTACATTACTTGAGGCCCACGCTTAGACAAGGCTGTCTTCTTTGCGGTAATCGACCGATCCTGGTTACCTGCGTTGAACGCCTGAGCCTTTTCTTGGTAAGGATACAGAGGCGGGGCCACGAGGCACCCTCCTGAGAAAACACAAACACACCTGTTCGCTCATTTGTGTACTATCGGGAGAACTCGAGTTACGAGAAACTCTTCTCTTGCGCACTGGCTAAATATGGTAGAATATGGGTTCGAAAATGTGTATAACCAATTAAACGCTTCCACATCACTGACCGTAGTCATGATCGTCTCCTCCTGTGCTTCAGACTCGCACTCAGTCGACTTTCTTAACATCATCAATGAATCTGATGTAATTAAGTGTTCAGAGAGAAGAACCAAGCAGGTTACCTCTTTCGAATCTTCGCAGTGTCCGACGAAGTCATCGCTACAGTAATCGGCTGAAAAAGTACTTGTATCACTCATGGCAACACCAGAAAAGACGTGTACAATACAGACCAAGACAAATGAGTGCACTGCCAGGTGGCTGACTCAGCGGGCGAAGTGGCTGAGAGCATTGCGAAAGAGGGCTCCCACCACTAAACGCAATTGCGCAATACCCACAGTTCTCAATAATCCAGTAATTCAAATAATCCAGTAATCCACTGTCTGTATCTGGAAGCCATGGGAGCTCTTGAGATGGTGTATACATGAGTTCAACTCAAAGTATGAACTAGAACTAACTTATTCTAAAGTAGAACGTATACTGTTAGCTATTACCGTAGGTGTCCTCAGAATGGTCGCGCTTATTGGTAAACGAGAGGACCGATATTCAAATGTACCGGACTGCGCAGTACGAAACACTGAGACCAAAGAGAGACGCCAAGAGACAAGGGGCGGATGCACTGAGAAGCATGATGCAATGTTCACAGTCCAGAGGGAAAATCGATGGTCATTCGCTGCAACGCGGACCAACGCGTGCGCGTGCCAGCGTGGATCCCACGCGGAAACCTGCGCCACATCGATTTGGCTGGCTCTCCTACTGGCTCGTGGATGTCTGGCTGCCCTCCACGTAACATGTAATGGATGTGCTTGTCCTTGTGATATCATGGTGATTCGAGAAGTTTCATGCGATGGATGTGGATTGAGTGTTAGGTCGATGCTTTGGCATTTGTGTGAAGCACGGAAAAGAGACGGTGGAAATAGGTGGGGGAGGGAGGGGGCGGGGGTGGAGGGGCGGCCACTAGGGAATGCCTCCATGTCCCTTCCTCTAACCAAGCTTGGGCTTAGTTACCGCGGTTTCTTCGGAAACCTAGGTGGCACCGGTCGTTTTCAGAGCCTGAACCTTGGTTTCTTTGCGAAAGTACACCAAGGTGGCTCTGGTCGTCTGCGCACTGGGCACTAATATTGGTTAGAGGAGGGGACACATGGGTGCTGCGGAGCGCCCCCCCCCTCCCTCAAATGGTGCCCAGGGATCTTGGTGCGCTCCCGAAACGAAACCACGCGAGGGCTGAAGCACCTGCGCTTGAAAGACAGCGGAGAAGGGTTCTCACCGACCTTACTTCAGAAAAAGGACTTTCTAGCGCACCCGCGCTTCCCGCAGCGATTACGGTATCCGAATTCCTCTCTTTGGAGTGGACGTGTAGACGACAAAGTTTTTGGAGTCCGCGGTCCATCAATGGTTTTTAAAACACCCGAGGAGTTCGTTATTCGAGTACATTGAGTTACTCTTAAACATCACGCTGTAAAGGTTGAAGGGTAGACCAAATGTAGCAGTTCAACTGAACCCCATAAAGTAGCGGTTGCTGAGCTACTAACGTAGCTTGACGGGGCCTCGCGTAAGACGACCATGTCTGCATTGCGGTACTAGGCCACATGGACCCTGAACATCTACGCTTTTCTTGAATGAAGGCATTGCAATGGGGGAAGGAGATAAACGAGCTGCCACGTGGGCTCTCCGGATTGGGTTAGCATGTGGGTGCTCATTCCGAATGGAAACAGGAGTTGTAAGAGGGGTGACGTACGCAGAAGCGGCCCAGGACCAATTCACTCAACGAAGCATGCTGCAGCGCTTCGACTCTCTCTGCTCGTGGCAATTAGATCTTCTGGTGGGGGTCACGGAGCGAAAGGGCAGAGCGCAGGAAAATAGGGCACTGCTGCTGCCGTGCAAAAAACAGGTCCCGCGAGCCGGAAGACGGGTTTATTTTACAGGAATTCAACTCGCGGGTGGATGAGCCACCTATCGTGCGTGAAACTTTGGAAACGTTGGCCACAGTGGTAGTACGATGTCATGTAGACGTAAGAGCGCAGAGAAAAGGTGACGTGAAAGGAAAGGTGACGAGAGTAGAGAGTTCGAATTCAAGCTGTCCATAAACCCTTTGACCTCCCAATTCGACTACCTCTCCCTGTGCTCATGACTCTCTCGTCAGCTAGCTGGGAATCACTCTCCTAGTGCGCGCACTGCCGCTACTAGCAGGTAACCTTTCATACCCGCTAGCCAACACCGCACGTCCAGCCTGCAAAATCTCGACGGTCTCGATTGGCAGTCTTGCTGCCACCTCTTCAGACCAGCTTATGAACAAAGAAGTCTGAGTGGCGATGATTCCATTCTTTCGAATGGACTTCATGTCTGCACTATTGAAGATCAAGAAGCGGTTACACTTATACCATCGTAATCAGGCGGACGGAGTCGGAAGGGGCTATGAGCCTGCCCACGGCTGCGTTTTCTACCGATCAGGGCGCTGGAGATCCAGCAGTGAGAGGGCTGTATTTGCATTTGGGTAGAATGTTTTCGCTCGTTGAAGCTTCCCAGTTTTCCTGTTTCAAGCGCGCTATGTACCCTCCCCCCCTCTCGTGCTCAAGAGCAATTTTTTTTAGAGAATTGGAGAAATTCGCGCAAAAAAATCGGGGAAAAAAGGTGGGAGATTGAAAAAAACTGAGGAACATGGTATCTAGGATGGGCGATGGAAAAGAAGGTCGCACCTGTAGCGGACTGCTCCGCTGATCCGGTGTCGGTTGGAGTCGGCGAGGTGCTGGCGTCGGCGTTGGCGTTGAGCTGTCGGTCGCGTCCGTGGAATCGAAACTGCCCTAGAGCTCCTGCCGAGGGTATTTATACCCCGAGATCCCGCCAAAGAGGGATATTCAAACGCCGGCTCACTGGCTAGGAGTGGACGGCGATTATTGATCAGGCCTTAAGCCGATCGCCTCTACAGCTCCTTCAAAATACCCGCTTACATAGATGCCCTGAAGTAGAGGCGGTTATTGATCGGCGGTTGAACCCGTCGCCTCAACACATCACAGGTGGAATTCGCGGAGGGGGGGGGGCGGGTCGTATTCCGCGAAATTTTTCCCCAGCGGCAAAACGCGCCCTGCTACCAATAGTGATCGCTACTGGATCGTTCCAGGTAAAAAAACATCAGCGGGAGGGGATGGGGGAGAGGGGGTGCCGAAGCGGAGAGCATCGAGCAGGACGGAGGGGTCAACATCGCTGAGTTTTGTAGAGTGGAACCCGGATGTGTGAAAGAGTAAGGACAACAAACATGGAAACAATTAATACTTCCCTGCTCCTCTGTTCGTCTGAGATTTTTCATTGCTTCATCAAGTACAGGCGAGTTTTCCGGACTTTGTGTTCTGCTTCCGCGTACTTCGGGAGGAGTTAGGTTGTCTCTAGTAAGCATTAGTGTTTAAGAACAGCGAGGCTGAAGCAGGGTGGTGTTAACCTTCGTTATGCTAACATATATCCCAAAAGGTATTCCTTAATGTTCAACATAGTTTCTAAGTTGCGTGGTGTGGTTTAAACTATTGCAAGATGATATGCACACTCCTAGAAGCATCTTCGGACGCTGATATCAGATCTGATTTCCAAATCTGCTAAACGATTCTAGGAGAGAAGTTACGGACCTTTTTTGCTACTGTGCTTAACCATTGCGGTGCGCCCCTGCCCATACTTTGCGCTTGTGAACACCTCGTGACACAAACGCATATTTGGTTCAAAGGCGCAGCAGGTAGGTGAGCGGGCTTATAGCAGTGGTGCGAAGGTTCGAATCCTCTGTGTATTTCGTACTTTGCTTTTTCTTGAAATGCATGCTAAACACTTGTAGTTTTAGTTTTCAGGTACCCCCTTTCTAGTCCCCTCCCTGCTCCTTATTGAGCCCTGTTGAAAGGAATTGAAACGAATTTCGAAAGAAATTTCATTTCGACTCCACTGAAAGCACTGAAATTGATAGCGTTGATGTGGAGCCTCCTTAGGGGCATATATTGCTCTAACTAGTGCGGAACATTAAGCGAGCACATACTCTCCTCATCATTACGGACTGTCGGGGCGGGTCAGTGCGGCTGCGTTTGGCGCGGTCGTCCGCGCCCGTTCTGCACCAATCGTTGAACCAGGAAGTGACATTACTGTATTACATCCTTCCTTCGTATTACTCGTTTTCTACCACTTTTTGTCGCATACGCGTTTCAACGAAAAGGCTGAGAACGGCTTCAAACAGTGTGCGCACTCCTACTGGCTGATACGCCCGACAGTCCGTAATGATAGGAGAGTAAGACATCCTGATACAGAATGGCCTGTTGACACGTAGTAAGAACTTACAAAATCTAAGCGAATCGCTCATGCTTGCGCTTTCTTTCACTAGTCCTCTCAACACTATTTACCCTTTACTGCCCCAATCATCTGAAATCTGACCACTTTTTAACAGACTTTTTTTTCCACGTGGGCAGAAACGTTTAAAATTTGTTTCCTGGGGTGGCGAAACTCCCTGAAGATGAACGACCATTGCTCGGCACGAAACCCGAACTGGGGCCCGCGTCAAGGGGCCGGCGCCTGTAGCGCGAGCGTCAGGAGGTTCCGGATTCAAGCGGATGTGATATTCGTATTGAGGAGGTCAAATTATTCTGGAATACAACATTTGAGCCAAGCTTGAGAGAAAATGAGAAAAAAAAGCCGCTCAAAAATTGGCTCGATCGGATGATTGGGGCAGTAAAATGTAGATAGTGCCGTTCTCTCAATTCCGCAAGTGGTATTCGGTAGCAATAAAGCGCAACCTGCTCTTCATGCACGAAAATGTGCGACTCTTCCTTGTACTTGATCGGTAGAACGCTATGGCTTCATTCACCTAAACCACACGCATACTATGCTATGGACTTGTACAAAAGTGAAGACCTTAAGCAATGAGAACTTTCAAACCACCTCCTCTAACGGGACTCTACATCCTTGGAGGTGATTGAAGCTCCTCTTTTAGTCTGGATAACTTTCATCATAGCCTATCAGGTGACCAGGGGGGATCAGTACGATCGTCTCCAACGAAGCTATCTTCCTCACAATCGATCATAAGGTTGCTGCACAGCGCGTGGCACGAAGTCGACCAGAAGCCTTCTCTGGAGTCTTCATCTCTTTTCGGGATAGTGGTCGCGCAATTTCGCAGGATCCGAATTCTTTCACTAGATGTAATAGCAACGAAATTGGGCACAACATCTTCCCAGCTATTGGATCGCAAGAAGCTTATGGCTGATGAGTGTTGAGGAGAACTACTGCAAATGTCGAAGCCCTGCGTCACCCGGACACGTTGTATTCACCAAAAATAGTAAAAGAAAACTTCCGGTTCAAGCGCTTGAAGCAGATTGAAGGTGTATATGGCCTACTACTTGAGGGTGCAATTTCTCTAGAAAGACATCCACAAGTTTCAATAAGGAGCAGAGAGGGGCCCTGATGGC